TATAGGGGCTTAGGGCGACCTGTCTGTCGTCTATAGGTCGGCTGGCAGAGCTTCATGTAGGTTGGTGGATTTTTCACAGGCACGGAAAAGGGTGCAGAGGGAGAACAAAGGAAGGCACCATTTCGATCGCCATTTTAGTTTGCCGGGTCGCTGTTTCCAGGAAAGGGAGGGGATGTGGCTTTACTTGTGGCTTGGCAGTAGCCCTTCAGTTGAGGCTGTGGTGGCTTGGAGCATGCCACTGCACTCTAGCCTGGGCACAACAGAGGGTGACTTCAACTAAAAAAAAAAATTACATCATGTGACCCTCACAAACGGAGCACAGAGTTTCAATGGCCCAAAAAGCTAACACTCTGCTCTAACAGCGTCCTGTTACTAATTGTTTTGCTGTCAATATCTGCTTTCCGAGACTGTATCCCAAAGCTACGTGGCTGATAATGGCCTGGTTCTGACTGTCAATGTTTGCTTTCCTAAGGCTGCACTTCAGAGACAAGTGAGTAACAACATCCCTGAGAGTGACCGGTTTGGTGCAGACATCTGCACTTCAAGGCCATGGGGATCAGCAGCCTGTAGCAGTGCCCACATCTGCATCTTAAGGCCAGGCGACGGACAGACCGACAGCTCAAACTCCCTAAACTGCTTCTCAGAGCCGGATAAGCCTCAACTGGGGTTTTATAAGTGACCTGCGAGAGAACAAAGGCCGTTGGTTTCTCTCTACAGAGCCAGGCCCCTTCCCCCTTCTTTTCTTTAATAAACTTTTTAACCACCAGCGTCTCGTCTCTTCCTTCTCTTCCTTCTCGGCAGACGTTACAGTAGCCAGCCTGAGCAACATAGTGAGACCAGCCCCCACCCTTACTTTCTGCCTCATCAAAAATTGGTGGAGCCAGCCTGGCTCAGTGGCTCAGCCTATAATCCCAGCACTTTGGGAGGCCAAGGCCAGAGGATTGCTTGAGGCCAGGAGTTCAAGACCAGCTTGAGCAACATAAAGAGACCCGGTCTTTATTTATTTATTTATTTTTGAGTCAAAGTCTCACGCTGTCACCCAGGTTGGAGTGCAGTGACACGCTGCTCGCGGCCACCGCAGCCTAGACCTGCTGGGCTCAGGCGATCCTTCCGCCTCTGCCTTCCACGTACCAGGGAACCACAGGTGCGCACCACCACACCCGGCTAATTTTTCTTGATTTATTGTGGAGACGAGGTCGCGCCAAGCTGCCCAGACTGCTCTCGAACCCCTGGGCTCAGGCAATCCTCCCACCTCAGCTAGCACATATACCACCGGGAGTAAGTGCTTTCTACGTGGCCATTCATTTCATCCTTCCAACGACTCTGAAGTAAGCGGTACTATTACCTGCCTTTTTCTCAAGTGAGGAAACTAGAAGGAGAATAGTAAGGTCACAAACTGGAACTTAACCCGGAGCAATCGAGTCCAGGACCCATGCCTGCGCCACTGGGGAGCTCGGGACGCCGCGTGCAGGGTTTGGGGAAGGTCCCAGAGAGCCGCCGCAGGACCCGGGAAGCGCGCACCACCGCGGCTCGATACGCCCGCCCAGCGGACCGCTCCCGGCCTGTGCGCCCCCTGCTGGCCAACAAGGGGACCGGCTCGCTTGCAGCTCCGCCCAGCCGTCCCCCGGCACTTCCG